GATTTGACAATTAGGCAATTAATTGCTCTTAAATCTTGTTTAATTAAATCTAATATAAATTATATTTCATTGGTTGCCAGCGATCAGTGATTTATTGCCAATAAGTTATTGCAATATTTACTTTCATCTAATTTTCACTTTTTATTGCATTTATTTATTGCTAATCTGATAACCATTTTTGTATTTTGAATCTACTGTCAAACATAATGCAAGAAAAAACTTAATTTTATAATAAAAATTTCTGTATTTAATTATAATTTATTTGTAAATATTTGCGAATTAAGTACATAAGCAATAAACGGCCAAAGATTACATATTTATATAAACTTAACGTATAGTTAAATAAATATTTGAAGTTTTTTTCATTGAGTAAATACTGCGGACTTCAGAGAAAAGTTTGATACTATGGATGTGAATGAGTGCCGCGAATGCGTTCATTATGTGAAATATTTGGTGCGATTGAAACCAATAGTCAAACAAACCGGGTTTGAGTCGCTCCGGGAACCGGTATATGTAGAGCAGAGCTCCCGACAGGTTAATACATCCCGACAATAGTGTCATGTAAAGCGATTTGAACGCCATTTGAGCTAACAGTGGCTCAAAATAGTAGGAATGGTAGCAGAAGTGGAAGAATGGTATCATAACTATTGGCATTTGGATTGAATCGTTTTTCAATTGCATATTAAAGACATTTGTTTTAATAGCAAAAAATTACCATAAAATCCTTTGGCAACAAAAATCATGGCTCGATATTGTCTGAACTCGGATTCGCCAAAGCGGTCGCAAAGAGTGACTATAATCAAGAGAATGCCAATCATTACTGTTATCAATATATAGACCCGTCGGGCGACTAAGTTCTCATAGAAGCCATAGTAAAGCCACGAAAGTTGTGCCATATTTATGACCAAAGAGATGCCGAGATAATCAAGTCTACAGATAATTATATCAATTCAATCGTCCAAAAGAAAAGACAATTCAATAAATATGAAATACTTTGCCGTCAATTTGACAACACCTCTGGAATGGCAGTGAAATGTGTGAAACAGTGTCGACATTATCAGACAATTAACGCAAAAACCAAAGAGACAATTGATAACTAGTGTATCGTTGGATCTGATGCTGATGTGTCGGTTACAGTGTATTGTGTGATACCATTGAAAGGCGAAGAGTAGGGCTCCGATCAGATGCGTCCATATATTTCCGGTCTCGTTATGTAACCTAAATATACTGCGAATACAGTAGAGGACCGAC